GCACCTTAGAGACTAACAAATTTATTAGAGCATAAGCTTTCGGATATACATCCGAAGAAGTGGGCTGTAGCCCACGAAAGCTTATGCTCTAATAAATTTGTTAGTCTCTAAGGTGCCACAAGTACTCCTGTTCTTTTTGCGGATACAGTCTAACACGGCTGCTACTCTGAAACCTGTCAGAATATGGAGAGATGATTTAAATAATCTGATTGGCTAGTGTGCCAGGCATTAATTCTCTAGCACATTGATTCTCTAGTTCTCTATACATACAAATTGGAAATCTATATCTTCTATATGATTAAAAAAACGTGTGTGGATTTTAACTGTTTCAGTTTATATTAGCAATCAGAATTAGAGATATGCAAGATTATGTTCTCATTTCTGCTTCTTGCCCAGCAGGTGGCACTTAAGAATCAGCAATAAACAAGAAACATAACCTCTAAAATCAAATAAATATCTGACAAAAACCTTTGATTTACAGTTTCTACAATTTACACATTTTAATGCATTTGTAAAGTTTTTTTCAAAAGATAATTGTCATTTTCTACACAATAGGTTACTAGGAAAGCCCTGAGTGTGGACCATTATTACTTCAAATTTCCTTTTAGCTCTAAGGTGGTCTGTGCTAAGTGACCCTTAGCTACTTTAGTGTTTTTGGTAAGGCCTTCTTTAAACAGTTAAAGAAAATCTGTCAAAACATAAAGGTAGATTCCAGCAGCCTTTCCTACTTACTATAATGGCATGCTATCTGTGAAGAATAATTTCTTCAAAAATGCCTTGTATTTGGTATCAGTGAAGCAATTTAGGGCTAATATTGTAAGACTTTTAGACAAAATGAGATGGCCACACAAAAGCTGCTATTAAGGTACATAGGAACTTGTCAATCTGAATAATTAAAATGTGTAAGAAGAAGAAAGCAAATTACTTTCACATAATGAATGCTATTGTATGACTGAAAGAAAGTGAACATCATTTTCTAGGATGAGGTTGTAGTTCAAACATTGGAATCTCTCTGGTTACTTCTACAATGATACTATGTATTTATGCATTTTCATTACTATATGTATAACAGTAAGAATGTACTTTATACAATGCTAAAATCTCAATCATATCTGTACAGGCCAACTTCTAAATATGAGCTATCTCCATACAATGAGACTTTTTCCCCTCTTTGTTGATAGCATTCACTAATTTGAGACTTCGTCTTCACTTGTTTATAAAACTAACATGATTCTATGTCCATAATAATAATACCTAGCTCTTACATACCAGTTATCATCAGTAGATCTCAAAGTGCTATTACAGAGTACAAAAATCATTATTTCCATTTTACATATGCAAATAGTTATACTCTACCCTTATTTTCTTTAGATGTCAATTATTTTAATACTTTTTCTTCTAGATTTATCCTTTTTCTCCATTTTCTGTTCCACAACTGTAATTAGCAAATTCAATTTACTATTAAATTGAATTATTTACAGTTTATTTTATAAACAATATTAATATGCTATACCCAAATCAATTTTAACAAAATACGAGTCATTTCCATATGAGAGGGCAGAAGCATATCATCGTAATTTCCACAATATCCACCTGAGGTGGTGGGCCAGAAACTCAAGAAACATTGCTGGCGCTAACTACAATCTAAGACGTGAACTGGGGTGCAGGTGGCTGAGAAAGTTTCAGTAGAGCAGTTTATCCTGATCATCCCAGTATGGGGGAAGAGACTTAGTGGTATGTCATTGGCCTAAGATACTGGCCGAGTCCCTAAGCTTGATGGGCAATTACATGGCTGCAGACAGACCCCCTTCCAAGATACCAGGTGGTAGATATACTGGGTCCAGAGCGCTCTGAAGCATGTGCCAGACAAGGAGGCTGGCCTAATTGGAACTACGCCTCTGAATGTTTCCAACGGCCCAAGGCCACAGCAAGTCTGCTGGTCCCAGGTCCAACCTGGAACAGAAACCCAGAGAATATTCGGGCCTACAGAGAAGGACTTCTGGGGAGGGGCGGGGGGGGGGAGGGAGGAGAGAGAGACTTTCCCTGAGTGATGAACAGGCTATGACCTCTACTTTAGGGAACACTTCTGCCTTTGGGAAATAGGGTCACCTCTGCTGTGACTGCCCCTTTACAGGAGTGTGACTATGGGCAAGTCCGGACAGCTGAAAACTGGGCAAAAAACGAGGCCCTGCTAAAAATGGTAGTCTCTGTACAAATTAACGGGGTGGAAGTGTAAGGGCCAGGTGAGTCAGAATGCAGTCAGACACTGCTTAAAGAACAGTTGATGGACAGTCGGGGTATCCCAGGAGAAGCTGTCTTCCTCCAGTGTGTGCACGGAGATGTACAACCATTACAGAAGTGCAGTATTGGTGGGGAAACCTCTTTGTAGCACTAGCATCTAGCCTGACATACCCAGTAATCCTAAACAGAGACTGGAGATATTTTAGGGAAGTCATAAAGGAGTGGGGCACTCACTCACTTGAGAGGATTACCCGGATCACAGAGACCCAAAAATCTGAGGGTCCAAAGGAATTGGTGGGGTTAGGTGAAACAGACGACCCCAGGGAAGGGACTTCCCACCAGGCAAAAGACTCTCTGGTAGGAAGTGATGCAGGGAGGCAGCTGCATAGCATCCTAAGGTGCAGGGCTTAGCTGCCAACCATTACATACCTGCCCAGATGGGGCCCAGGCTCCCCTACCAACACCTAAAGAAGCTCAACTACTAAAGCCTAAGCTTTGGCAGGGAACCTAATTGATGGAAGACCCTGAAGATACAAGGGTCTGGACCACAAGGCCCTAACCCAAGAGGGAAGCCCTGAACCTCCCAGTTGATCCTGAAGACCTCCTCGTTACTGGACTTTTTATTTATACCCTGAAAGGGCTGGACTTGCAAACATGACCTGGCCGGAGGGCTGAGTCACTGAGGACAGACCTCTGCAGGATAGAGCAGTGGTGAGAAAGGGGAACGCCTGGGAAGAAACAATCCACCACGCCCCCGCCCAACCAGTAGGTGGCATTGGCAGTGAGTGTTTCCTGTCACATGGGGTGCTGGGCATTCAGAGTTTAGCCTAACAATAAGTAACTAATAAAGTATTTAAGCACCCTGAGAGAGCTAAGGACAGTATAAAACAAATGGAAGATATGGTACTGGCCCCAAGGACCTTGCACTCTAAATTACAGGTCAGGGATGTAGTGCATCAGCATACAGCAAATGGTTAAATCTCAGATCAATGCAAATGCTTTCCAAATTGCTTCTGACCTCCCTTATTTTTAGTGGAAAAAGACTTACAAATCTTGGGCCTGATCCTGTAACCACTCATGGGAGAAGAAGTCCTTATTCACATAAGTAGTCTCACAGACTTCAATAGGATTATTCATATGATTAAATGTTGCAGTTCAGGCCCCAGAGTGATCTGAATATACAACGTAGGCAGAGATGTTTAGAAACATGGCTTAAAACCTTTCGGTTCAAAAAGGAGGGTATAAATCTTCAGTCCTTGCTTGTAACAGCCAGCCAGAAAGACACTGTTCCATTCCTAAAATTCTCATCTCAGCTCTCACAGCAACCATAGCCTTTCTACAGTAGGTTTTTGTTTTTAAAAACAAACAAAACAAAACCATCCACCGTTGCCCAACCAGAGTTTTTTACTTCTGTGTCATGCCAAACTCTCCTGAGCAGGGTTAGATAATATGACAGTAAAAATGTCAGAGACCTGTAGTACACAGTGAGAGTTCCCCCGAAACGCTAATGCAGCCACAGCCACAGGGGTTAAATAACTACCATGAACTTGATTTTTGAATAACATTGTACTGTTCAGGTGGTACGTGTGAAATCAGAGCTGTACCTACCCCTGAGAGTTGATGGTCTCATTTGCTTTCTGGAGCAACTGTGATAAAATAGTGAAAAGCTTTAAGCGCATTAGTGGGTCTTTGGTTGGCTGAAGACACGTCTTAAGGATGGGAATGAAGTCTTGAAGGGCTTCACCTATTATAGGACCTAGAAAATAAATATTTAAATCTTGATTGAGTTGTATTAAATATTTATTTATTTTAATCTTGCATTTAAATGTTCAGCATATAAATCCAGTAAAATCTGTAAGGTCAACTACTTCTTTTCTTCTTCAACCCTTAGCCGAATAGTCGGCTGTAGCAATAGTTCGCCATTTGGTCTGTTCCTGTGCAGCCGAAAGGGCTTGATGGGCCAAGAGTCCAACATCGGAACAGACTTGATGCACCTATTTAATAAGGGGTCTCTGGTGTTAAATTAATATTTTACTTTGTGTACTGCATCAGTCCTTGCAAAATAACTATGACACAACGTATCAGTTGTCAGAGTCCTGAGTGGGACAGAAGAGTGGCTATGTTAGAAAGCCCTTCCACTGCCCACTGGAATGACAAGGGTTAAAACTGCCAAGCCACGAAGCAGCTGGAGCCTGTTAACTATCCTGATTTATTTGTAAGAAAGAGGTCAACTGCTGGGAGGGTTTTAAGCAGCTAGTGTGACCAAGCCACTACTGACCTGGTTGTAAACTTCCAGTAGGTTTCAATCTGTATTTGATTCAGACTATTTACAGGCTGGGCTGTATTTTGTTTTACATTGCTCTGAGGAAGAAAGAGCAGAAGACTGTTTTTAGGTTGGCTAGAAGCCAGGTGATACTCTACTCTGCTCTGGCGAAGAAAAAAAAAAAACAAAGAAATATTATGGGTCACGAGTAGCCTTATTTTTATATTGTTTGGAGCAAGTGAAAGCTTCCAATGACTATTGTGAGGAGGTTAGCTGAGAACTTTACTACACCTTGGTGTTGAAGACCTGGGGAAGAAGTATTCTCATGAAGGTATTGATGTTTGGTGGAATCAATCCTGATGGCTGGGTAGCTTTCAGAGCCTGAGTGTAAGCTGCTGGGGCCTGGGCAGCCTACCTAGTGGGTGCAGCAATTGAACAGTGCTGTCGCCCAAGTCCCACGAACCTGAGTCAGCTGACATGGGCCAGTTGCGGGTGTTTAACTGAAGACTGAAATCAATGATAATATTACCACTGAATTCAATGGGGCCATGATTTCATCCCAAGATTCCAGACAGCAGGATGGTCTGGAGTCCCCTCTTCCCTGAAGGCCCTCCTTTACAGAAACCAAGAAGATCCTTAATGTCTCCTGTCTCCAAAATATTTATATTAAAGGGCTTGTTCAGGATGGTCAACCTCAAAACATTGGACAGAACAATTATAGAAGTGCTATTTCTTCTCTTTTCTATCTTATCTCAGGCTTTTTGCATTTTGAAGATTGTTATGAATGTTTTAGTTTACTATTCTATTTGAAATAAGTTCATACTTTTCAAATAAATTTTCTAGTCTGTTAATACTTTAAAATTTCAGCATGGGAGATTACATAAATAATCTATTCTTCACTCCTAAACAATACACAAACACCGTGTTAACCCAGTATTTTTAAAGCTGTCCTCCTCAAAAGGGAAATTAAAGTTTGTGCCTATTTTTGATTCATTGTGATGATTAAGACCTGAAAGGTTTGGGGCTTTTTATTCAAAAGAATTCTTCCTTCTGCATCTGTGTTCACCTCAGAAATACTAAGGCCAATCTACACTAGAAAATTAGGTCTGTTTACCTACATCAGTCAGGAGTGTGAAAAATCCATACCCCTGAATGGCTTCGTTAAACTGACCAAAGTCCCTAAGTAGATGGTGGTAGGTCACTGGAAGAATTCTTCCATTGACCTAGCTATCATCTCTTGGAGAAGTGGATTACCTATGACAATGGGAAAAACCCTCCTGTTGGCATAGGTAGTATCTACACTGAAGCGCTGCAATGGTGCCTCTGCACCGCTGTAGCATTTTAAGTGTAGACAAGACCTTAGTCTTGCCCTCTTTGTATTTGCAGAAGAACTAGAGAACTACAGTAGGAGCTCCCTCAATCCTACCTGAAAGGAGAGAGGTATCTGAATTTTTAACAAGAACTCTTCTCCCAAGTAATTATCAGGAGTTTGTTTATGTCTGCTTTCATTAACATTATTTTAGTCACAGGATTGTGAACAGTTTGACTAAAATCTACTTTCCCTTAGCAACTGCTCAGGTTTTAGTTTCTTGCGGATGTCTATCCCAATAGTTTTCCAGTCATTCAAAGAATCCTCCAGCAAACACGGGTTCAAAAATACCGGATATTTCTAATGCCAACATAAGCAGAAAACACTTTGGAAAGGGTTTTTTTAAAGAAGTTTTTCATTATGTCATAATCAAGAAATTCTTTTTCTGTATAGGTCAAGTTTAAACACCTGTGATGCTTTCTTCTTCCAAAGCAGCAGTTAAATCTCCACTATTATCCAAGTGACAGCAACAATATTATGTCACATGAAGAACTGCCTGATTAAAGTATTCAGACTCCAAAAGAAGTTCAACACCACTTAGTATCTGGAAGTGTGTTGTCTCAAACTTGGAACAAAATAATAATCTCAGATGTCTAGATTTAAACACAGGGCATAAAAAACACCTTGGTAAGTTTCCATGCCCTAAGTAAGGTTTTATTTTTGTAACAATTATTCAGATGCATTGCTCTATGCTAGACCTGAGGTATTGTTATAAACAATGCCATTACATCATATTTTGATAATAGCAAGTTAAATAGATGGAGAACAAAATAATCTACACCACTTATTTCAACAGAAATTCCAATTCCAGCAAATTAAAAAAAAAGGGTGGAATTGGAAAGGAGTAAACCTCATTAAATTGATTAAATGCAACATTATGTGTGGGAATGAAAAGAAAATGGGAATAGTACTAGGAGTTGCTGTTTTAGACAAGACAGAAAACACAGAAAAGAGCATATCACCACTATGGATGAAAGCCAAAATATTTGCCCAGACATTTTATGATTTATTTTTCATTAAGCAAAACAGACAAATGTCTAGAAATTCCATAAATCAAGGAAAGGAGGAGGAGGACTGTTGGCCTCTTGATATTTGTATTGGACAGTTGTTGTTTTTCTCTAAGGGCTAGTCTACATTTTAAAGTTAACTAGGATTAAGGTAGATGTGAATTCAAAGTGCAAAAGCTATTATGGAATAACTCCATGTGTAGACAAGTCCTAAGAGTGAGGAGAATTTTTAGAGAGGCTGGTCTCTGTGCAAAGCAAAAGAGGTGCCTCAGGTAGGCTTCTTGAGGCACTTTTGGAGATGAAGGGAGATTGAGTAATTTTATCACTGGAAGTCTTAACAGTTAGGATGGTGCTACTTGTCCCTAAAAGACCATAGAGGATTTTACCAGATATAATAGGGGGAATTATGTTGGGGTACCTGTTCCAGCAGGAGACTAGAAAAATCATAGATGCAAGACAAGGAGAAATGGTGATAGAGAAGGCCTTATGACACATTTAAGGATGGCACTGTAAGAAGGGGAAAGAGAAGGTCACTAAGTAATTCTTCTTCCACTGAGGAATGTCCACCACTCCTGTCTTTTCAAGCAATTTCAGTTGAGATAAGCTAATTGGTTATGCATCTGAACAACAGCTAGAGCAAGGAACTGGTTAGATTTTATTTTTTATAAAATTAAAATACCGAGATTCCCTTCTACAAAATGCCTAAGTGAGTTTATTTATACAAGTTTCGATAGCGATTATCCAAAATATGAATTTTTAGGTAAATTTTTTATAGCTGCATTCAGGTAAATAATTACCTGTGTTAACAAGAAAAAATACTTCTAGAATATCAGATTTTTAAGGCCCCAATCCTGCGAAGATGAAGGCATGTGTTTAACTTCATGCATATGGGTAGTCTCATTGACTTCAATGGGATTATTCAAATGCTTAAAATTACGCACCTGCTTGCATGCTCTGCTGGATTGGGGCATAAACGTAAAACATACAGTTTAAAATAAGTACACAAGTTGTTTCATTACAATAAAAATTCAAGTGTTAAATGAATATTTTTGTTATTCTCCGGGCAGACCACACATTCTGAAATGCTCCTTAAATAATTCAAAACTTCATTCCTTTTCTTGCATCATGAACTTGTGAAGTTTCTGAATGTTAAACTTATAAAATACAGCATGTTCGAAAGGCATGGAGACTGTTGTAGAACATAAGAAATTGTGTTAATGAGTCATACCTGAATGAGTGGCAATGACATCTAACTGTAATACTTCTGGAGAATAGCAGTTCCAACAATCATGCGATACAGATACCCATTCCATAAGCTGATCTATATGTTGTTTATAGAGATCAAGAAAACCACTCAAATGCTGCACCTGAGCTAATGAACACATTGATTCCTCTACCTGTTTAAAAACAAACAAAAAACAAAGTAGGTGAAGTTAACCAAAGTGTCGGTTTAAAAAAAACTTTTTTGGAAATTTTTGATGAAGCTGACCATAATGTCATCACCATCAAGAATTCAGAGAACAGCAAAGGCACATATGTAAGTATCAGTTATTTTTAGTTTTTAAATAAAATATAAGAAAATTCAAGAGACAAAAAAACCCTCCGGTTTCTTAATAGGGCAGTCATGGTCAATATTTAAACATCGTTTATCACAGTATTATACCTGTTAACTTCAGTTTTAAAATGGAAATTTTTTTTGACTTCCCTATGACATCACACAGAACACTGCAATGCAACATCAAAACTGATGAAACTCACAGTGTCACATAAAAGGACTCACAGCCAATCAAAACTGTAAAACAGTTATTTTTCCATGTAGGTAAGTAGTGGTTTCCTCCCCAACTCAATAATGCTTAAAACACTTATATAGGTGACCTCTCTCCAGCAAAAATAGCTGGATGTGGTTGCCTCCAAAGCCTATCACTACTACTTCTTGGATCAGCCAGAATGTTTTTTTAGAAAAACATGCTAGGTGCTCCATCTTCCCAGAGGCTGAGCATGCTGATTTTGCAGCACTCCCAACTCCTGCCAGTTTGGGGACAGTATTGACATTAACCTTCTTCATTTTTACATGTTACCAAGTCCATTAATTCAGTGAGGAAAAAGTGAAACATGTAAATAAAGAAACATCAGATGAACATGCAAGCTACAGTTATGTGTTTTGCAAGAAAGCATAAGGATTTTCATAGTAATCTATAACAGAGGTGTATTCATGCATAAAATTGTTTGCTTTTATAGCTCCTTAAGTCTCCTATCCAAAGTACATGTCCACTAAAGATGTGATCCAAAGCCCACTGAAGTCAATGGATACACTCTCACTGACTTCAGTAAGCTTTGGATCAGGCCCTATGGGCCAGATTGTGATATCCCCACATTGAGCAGTACCTTAACTTCACAAGGAGCCCCACTGACTCCAATAGGACTACTTACGGTGTAAGACTGAATTCAACGTGAATATGGGTGACATAATTTGGCCTTAAACAGTTAACTGCAACTAAAATTACATGCATTTGTTTTGCTGTTTTTAAACTGTACTCAACTGTTCTGGTGTCTGGCCCCTTTAGAATTTTGAAGATAGATCGCTGGCCTGACAAGTCATTATGGAAGTGCCAGATGTGAAAAGATTTTAGAAAAGGCAGGATTTGCTAAGTACAAAGATTATACTTTAAGCGACTTTGCCTGCACCCAAGACAATGGATTGCTCCTTTCTGTAGGATCTTTGCATTCTAGTCCAAATTATTCCATACTTGTGTTCTAAAGTATTTTTGTTGACCTGTAAATAAATCATACCATTCCACAAGACTGAGCTGTGTATCTGAGATCAAAACCGTTGTCTATCATTCTGCATATAAACAATCACAACAAACTTTTCCTTTTTCCATGAAAAAAAATAAAGTACAAAATGATGTAATTCCAGTCAAGGATACAATAGAAGCATTGTTCACAGGTGGTTTACAATAAACTGTTCAAACTTTCTATTTGTGCTAGTAACATAGGAGGGTACACATTAAATCCACAGATAGGCAAATGTGCAGCATTAGCTTCACAACCTTGTAATACATTTGACTGAGTCTCTTAAGACAACCGGCAAGGGTTTTAATTTCTATAAATATTCAAAGAGATGAACTTACAGTACTGTGACATAGACCTACCTGTAAGTACAACTGCTAAATTACCCTCATACCAACAATCAAAATGCACCTGATGAAAGGACTAGATGACTCACAAGAGTGGTAAAGGAATATAAAGCCTTTAAACCGCTATATCACCAGTTCAAATCTGGACAAGTTCAGTATTGATCTAACAGAGCTGCTATCTGATGGCTGAAATGAGTTCCATCCATCTAGAAAATGGAGGACCACCAACTAAGCACTGTGCTTAGTATAGTGCTTAGTAGGTGGTCTTACCCCATTTTCATGGTGCTTAGTTGATGGCCTGTCTCCATTTTCTATAGGACAAGTAAATAATGTAAAATCTAGTTCTTATTTAGTGCTTTTCATTGATAGATTTTAAAGCACTTTACAAAAGGAAGTCAGTATCATTATACCCATTTTACAGATGGGGAAACCGAGGCACAACATGGTGACATGGCTTGCCTGAGGTTGCTCAGCAGGCCAGCGGCAGAGCTGGGCATAGAATCCAGATCTCGGAGTCACAGTCCAAAGCTCTATGCACTAGGCTTCACTGCCTCCCGCAAAGAAATCAGTGCCATCGCTAACTGATCAGCAGAGGAGCTAAAATCGAGTAAGTATGAAGAGTAGAGTGCACTATTCTCTTACAATTAGAAGCACATGAGAGAATCATTGATGCCCCACCAGTGTATCTCTGCAGCCTCCTTAAATAATAACCTGGAGGTTTAGTAATTCAAAGGTTCAGATGGTTCAGGTATATTCACAAGATCTTTTGATCCTGAATAAGGAACTCTTCTCAGAACAACATATTTCTACTTTTAAGCTAGTTGTAAGCCATTTGTATTCTATGGACAAACTATTTCAGTAGGGTATTTTGCTTTTTGGAGCTGTTTATATGGATTGTATAGCAGCCTAGGGCACAAAGCATGAAATGCATTATGTAAAAAAAGCATTTTATTGTACTTTGTGGAGGTTTTGGAAGAAATACACAAGAAATATATTGAAATTCTTAGATCATTTAAGGTAGAATTTATGGGGCTTCACAAAACATAAGCAATGCTCTTCCTTTTAAGTGTGGAACAGATTAATAATGAGGGAAGGAGAATCTGAAGATATACAAACCACAGTTGAATAAATTCTTGACATAGCCTTAAGCATTATGAGGCTGATATTTAGAGATACTGAAAGCTGCAGCCCATTTTGAAGTTGTTGGGAGTTAGGTACTCAGTAACTGAAAAATCAGGTTATATTTGTCTTTGTGACAAACCTGAAATATTGGAACTACCCAATCTCATCTGTCTTGCTGAAAAAAAGCTAACGAGAACAAAGAATTTCATCCAAAGTAATGTCAACTGGAAAAAAAAAATCTGTAAATATAATATCCAAAGCCTTTAATAACTGTAGGGGATTTTCTTTGTCTTATGCAAGAACCAGAATTTATCTCCATGAAACTGCTTTACTTCTAGGACTATGGATTTGCAAAGTTTGGAAAGTGGGTGTGTCCACACTATTGCCCATTCTGTAGCCAAAAACTGCAGAGATGCGTAACATACAAATATTTTTGTTTGGGGACTCACCCATTCACAATTAAGTTTATAAAAATGTATCCCAGATTAGTTCCTTGTGTAATTTGACTTTGAGTTTGAAAGAATCTCTTGCACCTTGTTTCAATACTTGTGTAAGCTTTGTTTCATTTCTCCCTTTCAGATTAACTTTCAAAGGATATGCCTCTTTGGAAGGAGCCTGTTGGTAACAGGACCATAATTACTGGTAAAACACACGTCTTTGGACTATAATGCCTGAAAGCAATACAAGAGGAAGTAGAACAGCCATCAAATTAAGGAGCAGGTAAAAAAAAAACAGACTTGGGTAGGCCACCAAGGAGTTATAGTGAGTAAGGATGGCTTTCTGATTTAATTGGCATTTAACTTTTTGGGGGGAGGATTTGAAGGAGGGGAAGAGAATGAAGGAGATGAGATAATGGTTAGAAAAAAGGACTACTTATTATCACAGCCTCTGTAGATGCAGGGCCAGCTCCAGGCACCAGGCAACCAAGCTGGTGCTTGGGGCGGCACCTGGAGGGGGGCGGCGCGGCGCTCCGGCCGCCGGGGAGAGCGGGGCCACAGTCGGGCTCGCCGCCCTCCCCCCGGCGCTCTGGCTGCCCTCCCCCCAGC